ACCTCAGGTTAAATCGCACGTATTTTTGAGTCTGCTAGTACCAAGGAAAGCGAGGAAAATGAAAAGTAAAACAAGAGACAAATTCCGACACTGATCATTTGCAGACGGGCATCGTTATACAATAGGAATACGAAATGTGTCACACACAACTCTCCTGTTATATTTGTTCCTTGAGAAATAATGGGAACGTTAGCCCTTGTTAAAAACAAGTTATAATGAGGCGACATGCAACATTTCGGAGCAATCACGAGTGGAAGCCGCGCGGAAGGTCGCGTCTCAGATTTCTCGTGAATCTCCTCCACTCCGCGCGTAAATCTTATACAAGTTTTCCTTCAACGTTAAATGGAATACTTAGCCAAGCGCGTGCGGATTGTCAAGAAGCAGAAGGAACTGCAATCAACACGACTGAAATATCAACAGGGGAAACAAAGTGAGAGGACGAGTTAACGGACAAAACGGAAGGTGAATTTTCGTGCAGACGCGCACTTCCGCTTCGACTCGTAGCCCGGTATATAGCTGTTGAAAATGGAAAGTGCATTTATATCTCAAAGGTAGACGTCGAGCTTATCGGAGCCAGCGACGCAGGAACGGCGCGCGCTTCCGCTTCCGCCGCGGTATCGAAACTCACTCAAGAAAGACTTTCGAACCGGAGATACTCACGGCGTAACGCGAAAGCAAATCGACGTTCCTGCGATTGTAACGACGCGGGTCGAGATTAGAAATCCTACCCACGGCTGCATTACGCGCCTCATTTCCACCTCCTCGCGAGGCGTCTCCTTAATTATCAAACGTTTCCATTCGCCGATTGGAGAAACTGGCTAATTGCTGTAGCAGCCCGCTATTACTTAGTGATTTTTCTCGTGTTCAACGTTATGCACACTAGTGCGATCGACATCTCGCGCTGAGATTCCATATAAATGGGATTCGCGTCTTTCACTTTCCGACAAATAATACAACTTCATCGCTCCGTTACGTGGAAATTGACTCGTGAACGGCACCCTCTCGCTTTCGATTAAACCAGTCTAGTCTACCGATACCCGGCTATTTTACGTCCGCAAAGATCGGCCGTAGATCGAGGGGGGAGGGGGTGGGGGTGGGTGGAAGGAATATGTTATTAAAATTAAAGTCATTTCGCGGTACACTCTGTGTGTGTGAAGGTAATAACAGGAGCGCATATATTGTGTGTGTATGTGTAGAGTGCGCGCCGCCGAGTCAGAGGACAGATGTAAAAGCCGATACGCGAGTCGCCGTGCAAAAGAAGCACGGGTGATCCATCAGAGAATCAGCCCGCTTTCACTGCGCTTGAGATCGGTAGGGGACGAAGGGGACACACCGGATCAAGATGGACCGTGGAGAACGGCGGCCGTGCCGTGATCTTCGTCGTGACATCGCGCCACGATAACCGCGGACATGCGAACAAGGCGCACACGCGAGAGATACTAGGCCAATATATGCGAGAGGTACTAGTCCGAATGAAACACGCTGTGACCCTCGCTATCGCAGCCGAAGGATCTCTCCGCGCTGTACAACGAGATACAGGATACTGCGGCGGCGCGGCGCGGCGGTGCCATCGACTTCGACGCACAGGACGTTTGCACGAGTCGCCGTGTTTAACGTGTCTCCATTTTTCCGATTTGCACTTTAAAGACACTCGGTGCTTCCGACCGATGCAGCACACGAGGCACACGGCAATTATAAATTTCCATCGCTTCCGCTGTCGATTATAATGTTCCGATTTTCCGCGGATTCTACGGGTGTTACTTTCTCTGTGTGTGTGTGTGTGTGTGTGTGTGTGTGTTCGAGCGAGAGAAGTGTCGGTTATTTTTTATCGCGGGCTAAAGTACCCTCTTGGATGAAGAAATTCAGCGATTACGTCTCATAATTGTAATTTTCGGGACTTGAGAGTTTGGGCTCGCACACGCGGGAACGTATTTTCGGGATTATTTGTTAAAATGAGACTGCGGTATAAATTAGCTAAGTCCTTGCATAGAAAAGTAGCAACTTCGCCGACACTCGACGTGTTAACAATAAAGTAGTCCCATGAATTTTCATGAGTTAAATATTCATGATGTCATTTATTTTATAATAATACGAACGCGCGTGATAAAAGCGGCAACTTATACTCAAAGAAACTATTGCAAATAAGTCGAACGTAAGGCAAAAGAAAAAAACGAAGCGGACTGCGCTCAGCTGTGCTAAGATACCGCGCCTAAATTTATAACCGTGAAGGCCAGTTCGACACGCGATTACTTAAGTGTTCTAGAGTCGGAAACATTGTGGCATTAAAATGTGCGATCAATAAAATGGAGTAAGATAAGCTTCCTCGTTTAATAGAGTTAGGTGGATAAGACCGAGTCGACAATCCGCCGATATCCTGCGCCGTAAATTCTCACCGCGTTCGTCCGTCATTCGCGAATTTTGCTCGGTATCCTCCCGCTCGACATTCTCAAAGCGAAGGATAATATTCGGCGCTTCGCGTTTCTCCTTCGCAACCCCAATTGTTTGCGACAGAAGCTTTTAATTACCGAGCCGGAGCCGGGAGCTTTGGAGATTTTCCAGCGGATCTAAGCGTTCGCCGGATCAGAAAGTTTGAGAAGCACTGCGTTAAACCACACGTGGATGCCACAAGCGAGATTACGAGCGAGCACAGATATAACAGCGCGATGCGACGTTCTGTCGCATTTCGCATAACCCTCCTCCCCCCCCCCGGCCCTCGTTCTCTTTCTCTCTCCCGACCTCTTCCCTTCTTTTTGCCATCCATTCTCGTTCGACGTAGTTCGGAAACTCGCGCGGAAAAGTGCGATTGTAGAGAATCGAGTCGTTTGTTCGAATTTCGGAGTCAATAAGGCGACTCGCCGGAATTCGAACGAAGGTCGGACTGCGATGCGCGAGAAAGAGAGAGTCAGAGAGAGAGAGAGAGAGAGAGAGAGAGAGAGAGAGAGAGAGGCCAGATCCGACCCAGCCTAATTTCAGACGCTTGCCGATGCTCCCTCGGACATCATTTGCGATCAGCGTATAGCGCAAAGCCGGTCGCACGACGAGCATTGAGCTCATGAACGATATGCGCGATGCACCGGCGGTTCTGCACCGCATCGCATCCTGTGCATCCGAGGATCTTTCCGTTGCACGCGGTTTTGCGCTACGCCGCGCCATGCCGCGCGCTGAGGCCATCGGCGTCGGTATAAAGAATTTCCCTCGAATCTCGCCTGTTTCCCTCTCTCGCCATCGCGCGCGGCCGCTCCGTCTCCCTCTGTCACTCTACGTTCGTACTCGGACTCTCTCTCTCTCTCTCTCTCTCTCTCTCTCTCTCTCTCTCTCTCACTTTCCTTCTGTCCCTCCCCTCAGACGCGGTGAAACAAGATTATTCCGACATACAGTATACGCGCGCGGCAAGTTCTCTTTTCGCGTGTTGGTGCCGGCGGAAGGAAGGAGACCACGAGAGACGTTGCGAGAGCGAGAGAGAAGGAGGTGACTGACTAAACCCCTCCACCCGCGAGCGGCGAGCGTGATAGTCAGCAGGCGATGCGCGACCAAATCTAACGTAACCCCATTGCCGGTTCTCCAGCAAGCGAGCGAGCAGGCAGGCAGGCTGGGTCGCCAAGCGGCGGGAACGAGACGAAGACGGAGTTACGGTCATATGGGGAACGATGAGGTGCGGGAGGGAGGTCAGGGGAATACGCAGGCATGCGCGCCGAGGCGGTTTATCGAGCTACGGAGAGGGGCGGTCGGCGGCCTCGTCGTCGTTATTGCCGCCGCCGCCGCTGCTGCCGCCGTCGCCGTCGACGTCGCGGCGGCGGCAGCGGCGGCGGCGGCGGCGGTGGCGGCAGCAGCAGCAGCAGCGGCGGCGGCGGCGGCGACGGCGGCGGCGGCGGCGGCGGCGGCGGCGGTAGCTACGTGGCACTGCGCGAGTGAGCGAGACTGCCACAAATCGCTGGGGCAGTAGGAGAGAGAAAGTGCGACAAAGAGAAAGAGGGGAGGAGATAGCCTGTACAGCGGGAGGTCAGAGGAGGAAAGAGATATCTAGCAATAGCGAGCGAGAGACCCAGCAGGATCCCGTGGTTGGAACGAGAGAGAGGAGATGCATGGTAGCGGGAGGATGGAGAAGGGAAAAGCGGAGATATCCAGTAGATGCGAGCGAGACGATAGGAGTCGGGATAGAGTAGGGAGAAAGAGAGAGAGAGAAAGAGAGAGGGAGAGAGAGAGAGAGAGAGAGAGAGAGAGAGAGAGAAAGAGAGAGGGAGAGAGAGAGAGAGAGAGAGAGACAACGCGCGAGCGCGCGGCTGGATACGGTGGGAGAGCGCGGCGCGGAGGAGAGTATCCAGCGGGCGAGCGAGCAGGAGCGCGAGAGAGAGAGAGAGAGAGATGTTCCAGAGCGCAAAGGAGAACGTCGGAATGTGGCGGGATGACGAGAGAGTCAAACGAACGAATTACATAGGCGCGGGCGAGACGCGACGATATCCGAGCGGGAGGGAAACGGAGACCGCGAGCTGCCGAGGCGGACGGGCAGGAAGGGGGATTTAGGGAGGAAAGGGGAATACGCTGCGAACGTGATGGAGGGGTTCGCTGGAGGCGGAGAGGGGTGAAAGAGGGGCGCTGCCGCCGAGCAGTCGCTGTCGCGCCAGGCCCCCGCTAGCGGCTAGCAAGCAAGCAGCAAGCAGTCGCAATCCCGTCGCCTAACCAGCATCGCTCGCCTTTACCTCTTCACCCTCTCTCAAAAATCGCATCGAGGCTTCCGTCAGCTGCATTATAATACATACGTCGCCCCGTTTCCGTTCACCGTTTACCGGTTGTTATCAACGACGTCGTCGTTCGCCGTCGCCCCGACGTACGTCGCCATTGCCGTAGCTACCGCCGCCGCTGCCGCCGCCGCCGTCGTCGCCGCCGCCGCCGCCGCCGCCGCCGCCGCCGCCGCCGCCGCCGCCGCCGCTGCCGCCGCCGCTGCCGCCGCCGCCGCCGCCGCCGCCGTCGTCGTCGCCGCCGCCGCAGCCGCTGCCGCCGTCGCCGCTGCTACTACTGCCGTCGTCATCATCGCGACACGTAGTACGTCGTCGTCGTCGTCTTCGTCACCCACGTCGCCGTCGCTGTCGCCGTCGTCGTCGTTGCTGCTGTGTTGCTACTGTTCGTTCAGATTGCGCGTGCCATCGTTGTCAGCGGCTTGTTCCAGCGACGTTCAACTTCGTCGACATTTGACATTTCCAGGCCGTCACGGTCGCATCGTGCGCGCGAGGGAGCGAAAGCGCAGAGAAGAAACGAGGGGCGGCGAACGCGGAGACAGAGAGTGCTCGATACTGGGACGAACCGAGAGAGCAAGAGAGAAAGCGGCGGAGCGCGCGGACCGAGAGAAAAAACGGGGAGAGCTCGTATGATCGGGGAAAGCTGATTATGAGTTGGAACGTTGGTGCAGCGGCGGGTCAGCAGCGCGCATTCGAGCCGGTGAACGTGTGAGAAGGATAAGAAGAGGGAAAGAGAGAAAGAGAGAGAGAGAGCGAGAGCGAGAACGGTCGTTTTTTTCATTCGCGATACACACGCACGGATATACGATACGTCGTCCGTGGCCGCGAGAGACCATCCGGAATTTAACAGTAAAGTGAGAGTCGCAGACGTTTTCGCAGCAAAGTGGTGTTTCAACGGAGCCGCTCGCGGGATATCTGTAAGTGCCCGGCTGAAAATTTCTCTTTGTGTTTTGTTGATCGGTGAGGAGTCCGCCGAGACTCCGAAGAGGAGCGCTACGCAACGAGAATTAGTTATCCGCTGATCGAGCAGAAGATCCCCACCTCCCATAATCGTCAAGGTGATCGCCAACAACACGGCAAGATCGCGGCGCAACTCTCCGTGTGCTCCGGAGCAAGGTAACGCACTCAAAAAGTTCCCCCTTATCTGTGGTTTACCCAGGCGCACCTACCCGTGCGTGCGTGCGTGCGTGCACGCGTTTCTGCGTGTACGTGTGTGCGTGTGCCTGCCTGCCGCGTGATGTGTGGGTGTAGATGCGCGCGTAGATTATACGCGGTCCGTGAATGCGCGAATAGGGCGATCCGCGGCCGATCGAGCGAGTCCAACAACGATGACGTTTTCTCCGCGTGGGCGCCGCGTATCGCAGGCTTTTGTGTACAGACGCCACGTACATGCACGTTCGTACGTGTACGTGCGTGCGTGCGTGCGTGCGTGTGTGTGTATGTGTGTATGTGTGTGTGGTGTAACACGCGCGATCGCGCTCACGGAGTGACGTCACGCCGCTTTTTGCGTCCCGCGGCTGTGTGTTCTCGCGAAATTTTATTCGAGAATCGTGCTGTGTTTGTTGCGTTCCGCCAGTGTGTTATCTTAAAGAGCGGATTAGATTGGCCGCGATATCGCGATATACGCCTGCTTGTTAATATTTGCGACTAGCGTGCGGCAAACAGCATTGTCATGTCCACTCGTGAGTGCCGTAAACGGACACAAAAGATACGCGATACGGATTGTACCGGGGAGAAGACAGCTCGCGGTTGTTTAGCGTCGCAGAGATAACAATCTAACGCTCGTTGTGTTCGCGACGGAAAGTACCATCCGGTCTTGTGACTCGTTAAATCGAGAGAGAGAGAGAGAGAGAGAGAGAGAGAGAGAGAGAGAGAGAGAGCGAGTAGGCGAGTAGTAGGGAGACAAAGACGCGGGTAATTTCGGACTTGTCATCTCGTCGGCTGCAACTTACGGCGTTTTCGATCGACGAGGCGACTCGCGGATCGGTTCCGCGAGCAATTCAAGTCCAACTCCGATTTTCATAATTCCGTGCTCCAGCGGGAAAGCGAGAGACTCCGCCAACGTTACAATCTAAAGGTCAAACGCGTAACGGCAGGTCGAAAGTACTCCGCAATCACTTTTTACACACACATCGGGCGCATTATATATATATATGAGATGAAGTATAAATTCATGAAAGTTGGATATTGCTTTCGACGCGGCTACGCGCGGTAACGCCCGCGATCGAGAACGCTCCGCTCGAAGTATCTCGCAAATTCGATTAAGCGACGATTTCCATATTGGCAGAGTCTGACACACTTAGCGTGTAAATGCATTGCCGAGAAACGTTCGATTGAGAGCGCAACTATAAAGTGAGATTACCGAAAGGACAGGACAGGACAGGTTATGATACGCATGCGGGAGGAAATATCTCACGCTGTTCGACAATGCGCGCGATGTCCATTATGGCCGAAAAAAAACTGCGGCGCACAATACACGTGAAAGGTACTCACATTCCGTCCGATGTCGAAAAATGAGGTTAACATGTCGTTCCGAGCGTCGTTTCTCTCTTCGTCGACGACCACAGATTTCTTGATCCTTCGGCCGTCCGTGCAGATTCCGATCGGCGGTGATTCGTGCGGATTTTCGCGGTGCACGGGAAAGCGATATTACTTAAACTCACAGACATACACACACACAGGTGCATATACAGCGACTATCTCGAAACAACGAAACATTTGGTGAGTTGAGACGACCGTTAAAACTGCGAGTAATTACCAACGTAAGTGAACTATCCGAGCGGCACTGCGCATGCGCGCGGGCGCGCCGTGATACACAGTGAAGTGCACTGACGGACGCTACGATTTTAAAGACCGGAAATTGAAATATCTCAAGCGCCAGTTGAAGACGGTTGGCCGCTGAACGTGCGCGCGTATACGAGGTCAACCGTGGAGTTTTCGGTCGCGACTAGCCGCCGGGTTATCTTTATACGTCACTCGTGACCGCTGAATTTATCTCGTAACAGCGTGATAAACGCCGCAGTGCGTTGAGTTTCGGGCGCGCACACGATCGCCGTCGCGTCGCTTCTCGTATATTCTCCCACGCTCGTGTGGCGTCGAGACCGCGTCGGCCGTCAGTTGTTCACCGGCGATCGACTGCGAGACGACGAGTAACCGGAATTTTCGTGTCTCGCACGGCTCAGTCGCAAGGATCAAGCGCGTTTTGTACGTGTCGCCGAGACGTGCGTACGTGCGTGTCGCGGTGATATATATTCCGTAGTGCTGCAAAGAATCGCGCGAGAGAGCTCCTGCCTGTGAAATGCTCGGTGTGACGTCACCCGCGTATCTCAATATCTCAAGCCGACATTTTGTCGCGTGAAATCGCACGACTCGACCACATGTTAGCCGCAGCTGGAAAGTCGTCGGCCGGATAAAGTATGTATATATATCTGCATCTTTCCCTGCATCGGTCGCGCTCGTTATCGTCCCTTGAATCGTTGGTTAGGCTCTCAACTCTCCGAAGCAGTGACGCTCCGAAGGTCTCCTTAACCTCTCTGTCGTCGAGCGATATTCCCTTAAATTGCGCCTTCTCGTCTTTTGTCGTTGCACTCTCCGTGTTGAGAGCAGTTTATATTCGCGTTTGGCAAAGAGAGAAAGGGTGAGCGCGCGAGAGAGAGAGAGAGAGACAGGGGGGGGAGAAAATAGCTGAGGAGAATAGTCTAGCCAGTGAGATTGATGTGTATTGTATACAGGGTGTCTTGTAATTAACGATACTATATGTATACTTTTCTCAGACGAGTTGAGATTTTTTTCAAAGCTATTTTTATTCGGTATATATTTCTGGGACATATTCATCGTGTTATTACATGCTGTTTTCGCAGATGGCGAGAATCGTGAAAAATAAAGCCGATAGTCTGGTTTCTCAATTCTCTGCAAATCGCTCGTGTTCGGGGCAAATGGTTGCAATTGATGATTAAAGATACTCTCTGTACAACGAGTCTCATTATCGCGATCGCGTTATATGACATTAATTTGCAACAATTATCAATAACGCGAAGGTATCATTTATTTTCTCATTTACGTTCAATTGACCGCTAATTTCGCCGATTGGTTAAAATGGATTTTGAGATTGGACAGATTTAAAGCGAATTTCAACTTAAACAGCACGCGCTCGGGCCTGCGTGCGAAGTACACGTAACATCAGTATGCTCTCCCACGACGAAAATTTCGCGCAGGCCAGAAGCAAAATTACAGGGGACGCGCGGCTTTTTCAGGACCCTTTCGTTCACTCGTTCACTCGAACTTGGAATTTGCGTTCGGCTTCGTTTTACGGTCTCGATTCGAGCCGCACGATATTTACACCACGTGTGTGTGTGTGTGTGTGTGTGTGTGTGTGCGCGCGCGCGCATGCATATATTTACATCACGCATCGCCGTTGGTGTCCCCGATCGGATCGCGTTTCTCGTAGCTGGTCGCCGTGCCGACCGCGGTGTATTTTTTCTACGTGACGCAACGCGGATGGATAATTTTCATGCGGACGGCTGGAGGGGAGGGGCTGACGCGAACGGACGAGAGGAGGATAGAAGGAGGAGGGAGAGGTGGTGGAGGAAGGAAAGAGACGCGTGCAGGTGACCGCGTGTAAATGCGTCGTGAGGGAACGGGTGACGCGCACCCGCGCTCAAACGCATCAGATTGTAGCACGTACCTTCCACGGGCGTATCCCCGCGTTGACATTTCGACCTCGGCGTCTTTCATCCTATTGAGACCTTCCGCACTTCTCGCCGCGACCACGCGCGCGCGACCTTTTTCTAACGCCGGCGTTAGGCGGCGGTTTCCGCGTGTTTACAGTGCCCAGAAGGAAATCGCACCTTTCTACCTACCTACCTACCTATCTACCTGCACAACCGAAGGCCCGACCGCGTCGCTTCGTGTACAGTTAGACCCGTGTAATCGATACGTTTTTCACAATGGGACCGGGCGAAGTTTACTAGACGTTCGGCCGGAGGCTTGACAGATGTGACAGATGTTCATAATGATGTGACACGTTCGTTATCGTCGCTTACGACAGGTGACTATTACACTCTCGTCGACGCGCACTCGTTGCGCGCCGCGCGAAAAATCCGCTCGGTGCTTTTTCACAGCATCATTTATATATTGTATGAAGAACATATACGATACGTCTATATATACGTCCGCTGTAACGTAGTAGCTATTGTAGCGCGACTAGAATGCCCCGACGTGTTCTCTATGGACGGTATAGAAATATTTAGAAGTGCGGCATAGATTCTCGTTAGTTTCGGTCTCCTTTCTCCTTTATTATCGACAATATTTATGAATGCATTTGTATTATTTATCGTTATTCACGACGGCGCCGTGAAGCACCGCGAAATGAAGCTGACGAGTATATGTTTCTCTTTCTTCTCTTCTCCCCCTTTTTACGCCAAGGAACCATCGCGTTGCGATACGCGAGTCGTGACGTAACATGTCGTGCTGTTGAAACGATTAACTTAAACTTTAATAACAGCCCTTTTAATTAAACAAGCGCGTTAGTTTGAATTAACTGCGCTTTACGACCGTTTAATTTGTTACACATTTCTTTTATATTTGCTCACGTTCATGGCTTTAATTTTCCACCTCTCGCATTCGAGCGCTCTCAAGGCGCCGCGTATACCGATGGCCACGTGCCACGGAAGTTTACATCAGTCGGGAAGTACGGTGATTCCTGTCCAAACAATCGGACGTGTGCGCTCGCGTTTACGACTCGGTCTCACCGCGATTCGATCAAAGGTCGTGGAATGTAATTTCATAATGCGTCGCGCCGGGCCGGGTCGGGCCGCCGCCGGCGACGTAACGTCGAACGGTCGAAATACAACACATCTCCTCGTCCGTGTGACGTGTGTTACCGTCACACCGCGAAAGTTAACACACACGGTGTGAGTTAGTAAATGCCCTTGCGCATATTTCTTTCCGCGGCATCATCATGGAGAATTATCCCGTGACATCATCGTCGGCGAACGTGTGTAGATGTGTGGAAGCGATTGCGCCGCGGAAGCGGACTATTTTATGGGCTGTGACGCAACGCGTGCGAAACTATTTCAGGCAGAATGTCCATGTGGCGACCTTGAGATATTTTTCTG